GGAAATTACAGGCCTCTCTCATCTTTTTAAGTGGAAGAACTTGCACAATTGGTGGCTGACTAAATACTTTTTTGCCCCACTGTATTTATTGGTATAATTGAAATGAAGCTATCCTCCCAGGTTATGCACATACATATCTTCATACTACAGCTAATAAGTTGTTTTTTAGCAATGGCATTACTTTGGTTTTATTTTCCCTTCATTTCTTTAGGCACGTTTGCTACTTTGAATTCAGCAAACTTTCTGTTCTTGAAGTTTAAGCAGGCTTTTTTTTTCCAAATAAAACATGCCAGAGCATAACATTAATCCAGCCACTCTGTATAATCAAGGTTCAGTATGAAGGAGGACAAACTGGTTTTGACATTGATTCTTTTAGGAAGGATGTGTGACTGGCCAGAAAAGAATGGGTGCAGATCTACTGCCTGCTCATTTAATTTATATAACCCTTCAGTGCAAGATGTATGGATAGTGAAGAAGTAAGATATGATTCTGTAATCCAGCAAAGAAGGAGAGAAGGAAAAAGGTTGTCAGATACAGTAACTAGGCTTAGAATACCGAATGTTGCCCATTGAAGGAAAACACCTGCAGTTAACCTGTGATCGTATCTCAACTGAACTAGTCATGCTGTAAATGAAGCCCATGAAATTTAATGATGAAAACAGCACCTTTGCTCTTTAATAGATCCCAAGAATGGAAAGTTAGGAAAACTCCAGATGCTGTTGTTACACATTAGAGAAAATTCTATTCTATTTAAAATATAAATATTGAAAGATCATCTAATAAGTATGACTACTTCAGCTGACTAATCTAATTTATTTAGTGAAATTATAGTTATATAACAGTGAGATGGAAACCACTTTTCAAATAGCTTAGTATCGCTTGCCTACTTTGGAATAGCGTCTTTCCAGGAACATTATTTTGTTGAAAGAGCATTTAGGAGGCTATCATAGTGGCAATGTGTCAAAAAGGAAGGATGTTTTTAACAGGAAATGTAGAAATGCTGTTTTTAAAATTAAGAAGAGATTCTAAATAGGTAAATAAAGAAGAAAAGAATATTGGGAAGCCAGACAATAGGAAGAAAATTGAATATAAAAAGTAATCTTTCTAGAGTTTTTATATGAAATTATAATTTCAGTAAATAAATTAGCTAATGTAGTCAGGTTTGTTAGATGATCTTTAGATATCTATATTTTAAATAGAAGAGAATTTTCTCTAATGTACACTATATGCTACTACATATTACTACATCAAGTAAATTTTGTTGCTAAAAGTAGTCTTTTAAATACCCTTTTCAGAATTTCAAATCCTTTCTAAGGCTTTTGCTAAATTAATCTATTTTATCAGAGTTAAATTTCATTTCACTCCATGGACCATATGTCCAAGCCAGATGCTTTTAGGATCAAGGCTTAACAATGAATCCCCACCCTTACCAGTACAGTGTACTAAGCCCATTCAATTCCTGCAATTAATTCTTATTCATACTGTTGCTGCCCATCTCCTCCTTACAGATTTCTTATTGCATCCTGTCTGTTTGTACAAAACAGTATTTTGTTGTGGAAATATGTCATGTCACAGATCTTTCACATACAACAAATACAGTGTCACATTTGAAGTTATCTGCATGGGAATATATCTGTACCCCATTGTTTTCTGCTTCAAAATGAAACTGTAGATTCATCAAATGGAGGCATTGGGTGATTGGTTATATGACTATAATATGCCTTGTTAATATTGATTATCAAATATGTATAAGGTAATTTCTCCTTTGAGTCAGCTCCTGGTGACTTCATAATGACTCCACCTGGTGACTCTATGTATTTTTCTTGGCTACTAAACTGAAAGAGTTTGCCATTGCTTTCCTCCAGGATGATGATGATGATGATGATTCACTAGTCTAGAATACAGCTGTGGTATTTTCTGGCGGTCTCCTATCCAGATAGTAAACAGGCTCAACACTACTTAATTTGTTGAGATCAACCAAGGTCAACTAGGAGTTGCCAGTTGACCTCCATACCATATATGTATGCTTACTGCTAATTGAAACTGTTGTTTGACTCATAGAACCAGGTATTAGATTCTGTGTTAGAACTGCATTTTTATAACATTATTTTTCCCAGAGGATGTATAGGATAACACCAGTACTTGAATTGTGCCTGGAAAGTTAGTGAAGCAGTTTTACAACTGAAGATAAATATTCCCAATGACTAGCTCAGTATTATATTTATACCATCCATTTAGTCTGCTTCTCCCTTATAATCTGCTCCTGCCTTTAACAACTACCTCCTGATACTCATGACAGAAAAACAAAACAAATCAACATAAATAAGCATGTTGCGTGCAAAAATAACATGAAACTGAAAATCGAATTATACACAATTTTGCATTTTTTGGACAAAAGGAATGTCCTTGGTATAAGCAGTTCTATATTTGTTTTCAATCTGTCAGATGCACATTTGCTCAATTCTGTTTGTATTCTTTAGTTGCTTTTGTGACTGATGCTTTTCATTTGGAAGGCCAATGTAGAATCAAAATATTTAAGAGGAAAGAAGTTATGTTTGTAAATTCTAAGGAAATTCAGAATTTTAGATACAATTTGAAATTTGGAAAATGCTTTACAAGTAGAACATTCTGAGCATGGAGCCCAATTTTTAATGTAAAATAAGTATCAGCCCAAGGCATTTATTCAATATTTTTGGAATCCCCAAGAGACCATTAACTTTCTGGAAGAAGGAACCTTTTCAAAAGTGTTGTGATATTTTTTGTTGAGCACAGTTGTGAAATCTTTTACACTGTTGCCTTTCATAAAATGATGAAAGCTATTTACATTTTATGGCTCTCAGTCTACAGGAGACTTATGAAGCTAAACGACATGAATTTCTTGGTGAATTAGAACGGAAACAAGAAGAAATGAGACAAATGTTTGTGCAAAGAGTCAAAGAGAAAGAAGCACTGCTAAAAGAAGCAGAACGAGAAGTAAGTATATTTCAACTCTACTTAAGTGAGTTTTGGTGGTTATAGAAACTTGGCATAGATGAAATCGGGTTCTCAAATGTTGGGGTGCCATGTCCTCCTAAAATACTGATTTCTCAGAGCCCCCTCATCCCCAAAAAACTATCAGATCATGTTTTGTCAGGGCTGCCATTTGCCTGGACAAGCTGGGTGTTGACTTGTACATGCAGAATGGTGACATGATCTGGCAGAGATCCAACTGTGCAAATGCAAGCTAGACATGCACACCCAAAGCTGAATCACTGTCAGAACTCTTCCCTGGCTGGGACTGTTCTTGGACAGCCAGGATGTTGCCTAATCTCATCTTCTCCCTTATCCAAGGGCAATTCTTCCTGTTGGGGATGGGCATGATTCTGGGTTCTATGGGCCTGTTCCAGTCCTCGAGCATTTTGGTTTCCTGCTGCTATTGTAGAAGCTGTTTCTGTGAGTGTAAAAGTTGTCAAAAAAGAGATTCAGCACCTGGAACCTATTCATACCCTGGTCTAGTGCCAGCAGCTCAAGGAAGGCCACCCATATTCAAGGAGATTGCAGCCAGTGTGATTTCTCTCACATTTGCTCATGGCATCCCCACCCCACCCTGAGAATTCCCTAAGCATGCAGATAAGGTCTTAACAATCTCATCTGGCCTACAAAATAAGTGGGTCACTCAGGTTCAGCAAGAGATACTCAGATGTGGTACACTGAACTCCCCACTTGATTAAATACATATTTACATTAACTACATAATTACATATGTGGCCACTGGCTACTGAGCTTTCATAGGCAATTGAAAAAAAATCTACCTGTTACTAAGTCTAAATAATAAATTGTTCACTCAAACTGTACCGTTCAGACTCAGTGGCAGCACTCTGTGCTGTTGGGTTAGGAATCTTACAATTCTTTGTAACCTCTTCAGTCTCTGAATGGTATACATTTTAAAGTTTCTGATCCTTCCAGAGATTATTGTTCTTTTGAATGGATTAAGAGGAAGTATGTTTAGTCTAATTATAATAAAATATTCCAATTCAGACTGTTTAAATGGGACAAAGGTCTTAAAATCTTGACTTGACAATTCTTGACTTGGTGTAAGAAAAAATTAGATATGGATAGATGTGTACCAAATAGAATATGTCTCCCCAGCCTTAATTCCCCCCCCCCCAGATAATACTAACTGGTAGGTAGAAGTTTCTCTTTCCCCTCTCTCTCTCTTCCCCATCCCCCACCAATTTCCTCTCCAGGATCTAATAAAGGGCTTTACCCTGTTCTCTTTGGTTAAAACAATAAATTTTCTCACAGTTCTGTAGTTCTTTCTGGGTAATGAACACACTCAGTCAACTTTAGTTGGAGGGTGGAGGCATTTAAGAAATGTACAATGATTGTTCTGCATGGAATTAATTTTCTGAATATGTAGAAAGCATTACTTTATCCCTGTGTGACCTGGTTTTCTCACTGCTTGCCAAAGAGCAAAAAAATAAATTCAAGGTTATTGTATATTTGATACAAATTCCTTTTCAGTTTTCAATACATTATTAAGAAAAGATACTTGATGTCCTCAAAAGTTGATCTAGTGTGTAACTGCCCAACCTGGCTGTAATTTGTTAAGCAGAAGTCAAATTTTGCACTCTGAATTATAAGCTAATTAAGGCAACATCCATGTTCAGAGTATTTTAAAGCATACAATTGAAACAATTATCTTAAAAATTTGCCTTTACTTTGCCATGTGATTATTGAGGAGCATAGGTTTAAGGTGAGGCTAAACTCTTGTGGCAGAAACAATGTTTTTATGCTTTATTTCAGCTTCAAATGAAGTTTGAACATTTGAAACGACTACATCAGGAGGAGAGAATGAAAGTGGAAGAAAAAAGAAAGCTTCTGGAAGATGAAATTATTGCATTCAATAAGAGGAAAGCTGCCTCAGACATATTGCAAGGGAGGCCTCTGCCTCCTACACCTACAACTGGTTTAAAAAAAGATAAAGATCGAAAAAAGTAAGTAGTCCATTTTGAAAGTTTGGAGGAAGAGGAAACTATTCAGCTCAGGAACAATATCTTAAGCAATAATAAATCACTCAGAGATTCCAACTGTGAAAATGATGATTTTGTTTTAAATTGTTATAGAAAAAAAGTATTGATATTATTGGGCACCTTGATGAAAATTCTTGTTTTTCTTTTTTTCTGAAGGGATCCAGGTTTTCGTCTTGAGCTCCTATGCTTTGATGTCAGAGATCAGGAAGTTGTGAACGTAGATGACGAGAGAGCAAGAGAGAAGTTAGAAAGGGACAGATTCCATCACAGGGAATACCAGCAATAGTATTTGGATGTAATCCACAAAGATTTAAGTGGTTAGGGCCTGATAGTAAGTCACAGAAACAGAACCTTATGTTGAGTATCTTTAATATTTACAGGAAGCTGTTTATCCAATCCTAAGATTATTGGTACAACTCATGACAACTATTGTAGTTCTCTTGCTATGATTCAAGTTATTAGTAGAATTTTTTTAATCCTAAAGATTTTTTGTGAAATACAGTGTGGCAATTGTAGTATTCAAAATCTCAGCTACATATTGAACCATTTTTATTATTTTTAGTCCTATAATCCTGCCTTAAACTGAGGGGCAGAACAATCCAGAGTGAAACTGCAGGAAGTGAGAGAATCAAGACATCCAGGGCAGAAGAATAACAATGGCTTTTTTTCCTCCCCTGCAGTCCAGTTTGTTTTTGTTTTTTGCTTTTAGAAAGCATTCCATCATAATGGAAAGATGCTTTCCAATGCCAGTTCTTAGATGACATGGAGGAGGAATCAAATTAGGTCCCCCTCTGAGACTATTACTGCTACTTCTGGTGAAGAACCTGACAGGGCATAGTGGCAACATCAGCAGAAATACAACATATCCTTCCCCCTCTCCATTCTAAGTGCTTCTCTTCTCAGTGTCAAATTGCTGGTTTAATTCAGCCTTGCAAATAAATTAATAAAATGACCAAGTACTACTCAGTTATATGAATTACCATTCAGTTCAATTCAGAAACAGCCATTTTGTTGAAGTCAAACAAGATTGTTTTTGTTCAGTGTCTGGATAGAAATTGTTGTGGAAATTTCACCTACACCTCTTTAAGTTCAGTTAAAAAGACAAAAAATTGGAAGTTGGAAAGGATCATGGAGATCATCTAATCCAATCCATTGCCCAGGGCAGGAATCCATCACCTCAGCAACTATGACAGATGGCCATTTAATCTCTATTTAAACATCTCAAGGAAAGGGGACCCCCTTACTTCATACAACATCTGTTCCATTATTGAACAGCTCTTATAAAGAGGAAATTTTTCTTGATGTCCTTGTAAAATTACTTCCTAGTATTTAAATCTGTTGTTTCTTCTCCTGTCTTCTGGAACAATCCTGAACAACTTTATCCCATCTTCTGCATGGCAGCCCTTCAGACTCTTGAAGCCAACTGTCATCTCTTTTCCTCTAAGGTGTTTGTCATCCTTCTTATCTTTGTGTTATCTGAAAATTTGATAATCAGATTTTCTAACCTATCACCTGAGCCTTTTGGAGATATGTTGAACAAAACTAAACCATTCAACACTTCCAGCTTGATGTACAGCCATTATTGTACCCTTGATGGGTACAATTGTTCAACCTGCTCTATATCCACCTAATGGTAGCTAGTCCAGTTCACATTTTGCCATCTTCTTGATTTCATGGGAGACTTGTTGAATGCTTTGCTGAAGCAAATATATACTATGTTCACTACTTCTGTGGACAACTAACTAGTCATTCTGTCAAAAAAAGAGGATTAGGTTAATTTTATATGACTTGTTTATCCTGGCTCCTGTTAAACAATGCATTGTTTTCTAAATGTTCACAAACTGACTTCTTAATGATCTGTTCCAGAGGTTTGCCTTATATTGATACCAAGTTGACTGTTTTCTCCTCAGTTTTGAAGATAGAAACAATTTTCCATTCTCCAATTCTAAATCTATCTTTCATGATTTCTCAAAGATCACAGAAGGGGCTCCAAGATGATATCTGCAAACTCCTTCAGGACTCTTATATGTAATGGTTCTGCTCCTGGAGACTTCAATTCATTCATAGTAGCCAGATGTTTTGTAACCATCTCTTTCCTTACCTTGGATTGCTACTCCCTCCTAACTAATTGTTCTAGTTAGGTCCATTCGAACATAGTTCCTACTAGGGGAAAAGATAGAAATAAAGTAGGAATTGAGGAGCTCTGCTCTCTCCCTGTCATCTGTTTCCATCCTACCATGTTCAAGCTGTGGATGACTTCCTCTTTTTTTTGCTTTTACTTCTGATATAGCCCAAAAGCCCTTTTTGATGCTTTTGGTTTCCTTTGTGAACCTAAATTCCTTTTGTGCTCTAGTCTTTCTGGGTTGCTGAAATCTGGTGTGCACTAGACTCCCAATATTTTTGACATGGTAGCTTCCTTCCAAAGTTTCACAGTTGTTACACTGATCTAAGAGAGCCAATGATTTGTATCTTCTTCAGCATTCTATAAATGAAGCAACAAGGCCACTGAGGAATTTTGGAGATCTTGCAGTCTTGGTTGAGTTGGTTTTCCAACAGATGACCTGGTAATTGAAACCTCCCACTATTAGAATGTCTCTCCTCCCTGAAATTCTGTAATCTGATCCAAGAGGACATTATCTCAACCCTCTGCCTGGCTTGATATTCCATAATGAGCCCCCACAATAAAATCTTTGTTTATTCCTCTTTTTTGTATTCTTATCCAGATGTTCTCTATTGGGCCCTCAGGCTCAAATTCCTGGATCTCAATACATGTGTGGGCTTTCTTCACATAAAATGCCATTCCTCCTTCCCTTCATTCTGGTCTGTTCCTTTTGAAGAATGTATACCCTCCGATCCATGCATTTCACTTATGAGTTTCATCCCACCAGGTTTCCATAGTGCTAAATAAATCACATTTATCTTCCTTTATTAAGATGTCTAGTTCTGATTGTTCCTCATATTCTATCCATTTATACAGAGGAATCCTTGTGTCGTATAACTTGACCTATTCCTTCCTATATTTACATACTTGTTATTAGGTCCTCCACATTCTGTATATCCTTCCAATCCCTTGTTCCAGTACTAAGCTTTGCACTGTTCTCTGGGCTCTACTCTCCTTGTCCCAAGTGATTCAATTTAAAGGCTTCCAAATCATGTTTGCAAGGCTCATTCCTGTTACATCTTTCCCTGTTCCTGTAATATTATCTGACCTTGACAGATATCTAGCCAATAGATTCCTACTTTGGCCCTTCTGAGTAGAGAGTCTCTGATCATCTCACTTGTTGCTTCATGCTCTTCAGATCCAGGAACTCTTCCTTTTGCACAGTGTTAGAGCCCCTGAGGCTTGTGTCTGCTGCTCTTTGTCCAGGGATCAAAAAACAGTCAGCAAGGAGGTCCTGGAATCTAGAAATGTATATATATTTAGTAATCCTGGAGGTCTTCTAGACAGACTTGGGCTGCTCTGTACCTGGAATATATTCTTTCTGGCAATGGGTAAGAGTTGAGAAGATAGAACTTACATATCCAAAGATAGCTGGCACTATGCATACATGGTTAGTGACTACATCCACAACAAATCTAGTGTTTTCCAGTATGTAGTAGATAAAATACAAGGACCAAAATCTTCCATTTTCTCATTATTTTGAATGTGGTGTTTTATTGAGTTGAATTTGAAGTTTTACCAATTAGAAAGAGAAAGATCTTCTAAGAGTTTTTGATCTAAACAGATAACAAAAATGTTTGGTTAATCATCTATATCTGAAAAGTATAGATTTGACAAGACCTTCCCAGTTGAAATAGAAGAAATACAGCATCTGTGAAAAGTTGAATGATAGTTGGTTTTGGACTTAGCTGGATGTGTCATTACTATAAATGGCATTTCAAGTGCAGGCCTATGCCACTGTACTCAGTGGGGCATCTTAATGCATAGGAATGTACCATTAAATACACTTTATATATTCTATATGCTTGTTAATGGTGTTTGAGCTATTATAAAATCAATTTAAGTCAAGTTGAGCTATGTAACCTAAAACCACTGGGTTCATGTTTAGTGATTTTATCCTTGGTTATAAATCAAAAATACTTACACATTTAGACTAATACGAAACAACTGAAGTTGAATTACCATATTTTATTAGAATAAGAGAAAAGGGGGGGGGTTACATGACAGATTGGGGTTTTTTTTTCTTTTTGTTTTTTATATTGCTGGAATTAGAAATGTATATATATTTAGTAATTTTCTTTTTTATTGTAATTCTTGATATATAGCATGTAAACAGATTTTCAAGGATGTTAGACTGAAAGCTTATTGTAGCTTTGGTTCTAGAATAGCTCCTTTATTTGTTATTTATTTGATTGTGCAAAAAGTCCACCTGATGCAACTTTTTCTGGAATGAAGAGTTCAGATATGTTTATAGTCACTTTACTTGGAAAGCTAGCATATTGTGTAGAAGGCATAACAAAAGGTTATTGTTGTCCATATGGAATTGAGTTTTAGATGGCTGGAGCACTGGATGCCTGAACTTTTTTCTGCACAGGTAATCCTCACTTAACTTAATGTTAACATTAATTTAACAATGGTCCAGAGTTACGACAGCCTTGAGAAAAGTGCTTTATGACCCTGGGGTCATGTGATCGTGATTTGCAACCTTTTTACGATGGTTGTTAAGTGAATCACATGGTTGTTAAGCGAATCACGTTGTTAATCAAATTCTGGCAAAAAATGTCCATTGGGGAAGCTGGATTCGCTTAACAATCACATTATTCACTTAACGACCATGTGATTCACTTAACAACCATCATAAAAGTAAAATCAGCTCCGATTCACTTAACAACCAAATTGCTTAGCGACCTAAATTCCAGTCCCTATTGTGGTTGGATAGCGAGGATTATCTGTAGTCTTAAATGATTCCATGTAAAAAAGGTGGTATCCTTTAATATCTCACCATCCTTAAGTCAGTGTCAGCATTTACTCATCTGGTATTTGTTGAAGTGTCCCTGATTTGTTTGTTTTTTAAGACAGATTTTTTTTTAGTAGTGTAAATAGTTTTTTTCTGTAGAAAAGGGTGCAACTGACATATCTTTCTTTTGTTTCAGCTCTGGCTTTATGTGAAATGAGAGAAGAAATTCTTCACAAATCTGAGAGGAAGAAAGATGGATTGTTACCCTCCTTTTTCTTAATGCGTGTTCATTTGAAAACTGACCGCTGCAACTGTATTAAAATATATAATCAGTTCTGCATACTGTACTATAGGTTGCTGTCAGATTAAGCATTCACTCGAATGGACTTTTTTTTTCAGCAGCTTGCACTTAAACTATGTACTTTTGGCCAAAGGAAATGCGCATCAGGCTTTTGTACCAAAGATCACCGTGCTATGAACTAGGGCTGTGCAGGGCTTTGGATCTCAAGGCAAATAGCAGCTTCAGAGTGCCTCGGGGTATAAGTGTAGCACCCGTCTGCCACTTGCTTTCTGCCATTGCTCAGTGAGGGTGGAGCACGCTGCTCAATTGCAAGAAAAGCCTTAAGGAAGCACAGGGAAGTGCTACATTCACGCACCTGTGGGCTCAGGAGCACCTTTTGCCTTAGAACCTAAAGCACTTCAAAGTCCTGATATAAACGACTTTCATTTAAGTTATGAGTACTGTAGTATAATAGTATTCATTGACTACATATTATAACTGTTTTAAAGAATTTGTGCCTTTTTGATCTCTTAGCTGTATAACCTTTAAAGTGCCCTTTATTGAACTGTATAAAATATGTAAACCAATATATTTTTAAATGTGCACTTTGTAATTTTGTAATGATGATAAGCTTTAGAGTTAAAATGGATCATGGTTGCCTTTACCATTGCAGTATTCATGCAAGCGCAGGCATTACTTGAAAACAGATGCTGAAAATTAGCTCGGTTGCAAGGGTGTCTTCTCTTTAATCCACCTTCTCTTATCTATGGCTAAATTACACAATATGAAGACTGGGAATGGTCATTTAAAGAATTTGATCTAGTTTTCATGAAAATCCTGACAACTTCATATTTATTTAAACACGGCATATAACTTTCCTTGACATGAGGCCTTCCATCAGCTTTAATTCTTATGACTTAATATTAACTAGGTGCACAACTGGTAGAAGAAGAAAATAAACTCAAACTATGTTTTTTTTTTTTTCTGAAGTGAGCTTGAACAGGGTTGAATCCCATGCTTGCTTATTTGGACAAAAGTTCTGTACTTCTGCATAAAAATGCATACTGTTGTATTCTTCAAAGTAGCAATAACTTAATTTTGAAATTGTCACACTGCTTCGGCAACCAGTAGTTCTGGTGATTCCTGTTTACTAATAAGTATAGCAGTTGCATATGTAATCCTCATAGATTTCTGCTAACATTTTTTATAAAATAATCTTACATGTAACTTGACAAATAAAATTATTTGGTTAAACAATTAGTAATTATTCCATAATGCAACAGTGCTTGGATTTACTGGATAAGTAGAACTGTTCTATACAGTCTCACTGCTTTGCAGACTACTAGTCTGACACTGGTGCCATTGGTGGTACTTTAGCATTACAAAGATGAGAGAAATGTATTCATAGACACTGGTGAAAATACCATTTTGATGGCAAAATTGTGAACTTCCGTCTAAAATCCAGTTTGGGTAGATTATTCCCTAAGAAATAAGATCAGCACTAATACTATTTTCCTGGATTTATTTTCCCAGTATGCATTCTCTTATAGAATGTTTTCCTTAGAAACATGTATGAAATCATGTGGTGGTCTCATCTAGTGCTCATGCTTCCTAAGGCCTGGGATATCCTTTCATAAAGATGCTGACCAATTCTTAGCTCTGCTCATCCTCTGTGGTATAAATCCTACATAGGGCCTCTATTTCTCATTCTTACTGGCTTGGAGGTCTATTTCATGGACCTCAATCTGGCTCTGATTATGACCAACTACTAGTGGTCTTAAGTGAAGATACACCACATGAATGTTGTGATATGCAGGCCCCTCCATCCATATCAGGGAAGTTGCTAACTTTTTCACCTGTTTTACAGAATTTAAATAGTACACTCAGAGCATCCACACAAGCATTTTGACACTGGTACTAATATAGGTTAGCTGTAATGAAATGATTGGTGCACTTACTGGGTCTAAATTGGGGACAGTTCCAAAAACAGTTTGTGATAATTTCCCTTATATAGTAGCTATTTATAGA